AGATCCGCGCGACCCCAACTTTGGTGAGACACTGCCTTCAAAGTATGTAGGAGATAGAAGGGAAAAGAGGTCAGCATGCAAACTGAGTCAAAGCGTACCTTTAGGTAAAAGCTGAAGCATCGAGGAAGGATGTTGATTGTGCAGCACAAGGAACTGTATGGTAGCGTTTAGCCTAGAATTCGGAATAAACTTGTTTGGGAAAATTTCCGGCCGATGGATTCAACGAAAACGGTAGACAGAATTCAATGATGAGACCGGCAAGCGCAGCTGCATACCTTGTGATTACAGCTAAACCAACAAATTCGCCCTGGAGCGGAGGAGTGAATGAATCAAAAAATTTAGGTCGCTTACTGAGGCTAAAACCTAAACTTCAGAAATTTTCTACCACAGCTGTGCGGACGGAGATGTACACTGAGTTTCTTAAGAAGCACTGTTCTCTATTTGAAGGTATCAGGAAATTCATCAGAATAGTCCCCTACCAACTGATTTCGACGACAATGATTTTTTGGCATGTCCCAAATATCAGAGAACGGACACAGACACTAAACCGAAGGGAAGTCCTCTGCCAAACAAGTACTTGAACACTCTAGCTTTTGCATTTGCACTTTCCACCTCCATATATGCAGTACCAAGCTAACCTACTTGTTTTCAAAAACTGTACCTGATTTTGAATAAGGGAAGATTGCTCATCTTTTGTTCCCAGTGCAGAATATCTGCTGACAAGTTTATAGCCATCCTGGGAAAGGTTCGCTTCTAGGGTAGACTTTACACAAGCTCTTGCGTTGCTTTCACGTGTCCACTATTCAGTGCTGACCTCGACAAGCAGTCACACGAGTTTGAGAACTACAAGAACCAATGCACTCATAGGGGGGAGGGGGGGGGGTGGTGCAGGAGAAACCAAAAGGCTGCCGCCTGTATCCACAGGAATTAAGAGCGCCGAGAGCTGTGGAGAATATTTTGGCAAGGATCCAAGAAAACATGGCAAGGATATCCCTTAGGAACAAATCTTCATAACTTTGCCTGGAGATGACCTTAAAGAATTTAAAAAACAGATTTTAAAAGCAAATTGGAAGGCGCATTCACAGGGCCCAAAATTAAGCGGAAATTTGGAATTGTAGTGGAGAAAAGTCAACTTTCTAAGAGAAACTCTTTGTTTTGCAATTTTGAAGTTACAGATTGTTGAAGATCGGGATTTCCATTCAAAAATCATTCTCTTTTTTTTTTGAGATGAAGGAATATTTTGCTTTTTGAGTCAATGAACCAAAGCAATCAAAATGTCATAAGAACAAATCTGGAGGCTTTAGTCGAAATGCAGTATGCAGTTTGTCTCATAACTTCAAACCTATTCTAATTTTGAATTTTGACATTAGAGATTTCAAAAGATTTGCCATTGAAACTACGTCGGTAATCCCCTCGAGGTTGACTAGAAAAGTTTATCACATTCAACTTAGCTAACATTCTTTCCTGTTTACCACTCCCTACTTTCAATTTCCAATCCAGAAATTTCTCTAAAAAATTCACGCAAAATCTTTCACACATCTCACAAGGGAACGATACTCGGTGTCCGTGGCCTTTTAGAATGAGATGTATACCATTACACTCATCTTGGAACGCTGATTCCAAATCTTACTTCCGTTTCTGCTAATCGCTCCAAAGATGTTATCATGGATCGCGCAGAGTTTGGCTGCCTAGTGAAAATTTGTCGGAGCGCCAATGGCATAGTTGCGTTGTGGCCTAGTGGTTACTGCGATAGCCTCATGAGTTGATGCAGCTCTAGGTTCGAGTCCTTTTGTGTTTTATAGTTTTGCGTTGTCTCAATTAACCTTCTTTCACATCCTCAAGTTGAGTGAACGTCCGTACTCTTGAAAAAATGTGGAATTTTGGAAAAATCACTACTGTTTGCGCTAAAATGTATTCAATGGTCATAATTCGAGTAAACTTTCTCGAACAAGCTTAATTGAGGCAAAAGTAATGCGAAAGTAAAAACGCAAAGGATTTGAACCTACATCAACTTATGAGGCTATCGCACTAACCATTAGACCAGAACGTGGTCGCAGTAGAGGCCGTTCCAATGACCATATTTCCCTTAAGCGGCCAAATTTGGATCGAAATTCCTTCTAACTTCTTTCAGAGAAACGATTAGCAGAAACGGAAGTCAGATTCGGAATCAGCGTTCGAAAACGAGTGTAATGGTGTACGTCTCGTCTCAAAGAGCCACGGACATTGAGTATCGTTTCCTTGTCAGCATTGAACTTGAAATTTCTCATGTTTCAATGGTGAATTTTGAAGGGTTCAGTTTTTGGTGAAAATAGAATTTGAGTAGTGAGACAGAGTGTCTGTCCGGTAGGCATATTACTGAAAAATGCGCATTTCAATACTGATTCCAAATCTGTCCTCTGTATCCTTGAAAGGTAATTTCAAGAAGAGTTATAAGAGTTCGCCTCTAATAAATGTTCTCGCCAAGTTTTCCTTAATCCTTGCCAAACTCTTGTCCACGGCGCTCGCGCTTCTAACTACCTCCTAAGGCTGCAGGCTGCAGGCCTTTGGTTCCTTTTGCACCGCATCCCACTCATAGCATACAGACGATCGAAATGCTAGATGAGCAGGAGATTGGCAGAAATACTAGATGCTCGTGCGATCCCCCACGAGGATGGTCAAATATGGCAAAGGCATGCGTCCAGATATTCGAACGGATCTCCCATTTGCCGTCGTGGAAGCAGCTACCATCGGCGTGATGCTGAACATAGAATCCGCTGGATGCCAGCGCGTATAGTTTGAAGAGATTCTGTGTTACCGCCAGCTGGTCACAAGCTGGAGTACGAATTAGACGTCAGTCGTCAAAACTAAGGTGTATTCAGATACAGCATTAACAGCACCACTGATAAAACCGCGTTGAAACTGAACGCAGTCGTGGACGTTTTCAACTTTGTTATTTGTCTAATTTGTAATTCCATAGCAGAGTGTGAAAATGTACTTCACAGCTTATAACAAGATTTTTCCTTGATGGGAGCAATGCTGATGCGGTCGACTGAAAAGCTGTCAGCATGATGAGTCATTCCAAAACTATGCAGATTCAAGTGCGATTGGCTGAATTGCTCCATCCAAGCCGCCCTTCAGTGATTTTGCTTGAAGTAACAAGTCATGACATTTTCGTCTTGAACACTTTTATGAAAAAGGCCCACTTGGTTCAAATGATAGGATCATTGTTGTGGTAGCTGCTAGATAATTTGAGAGCGCACCCTCTTATCACACGCTCATCACTCTTAAAGGCAGTGTCCCGGCAGATTCGGGTCCTGGGGATATACATGTGGTGGGGTTCCTGGTCATCCCACCGACCTCTAGGCGCAGTCCGGCTGGGTGATGTTCCCCCTGGGCCGAGAAAATGGCCCTTGAACCTGCGCGCGCAAGCCCAACTGGCGCGCGCTTGGACGGCCTTCCTTTTCTGTTCGGCGCGGGACCCCACGAGCGCTCTCCCCCATGATGCATGCTATCCAAAGCAAGAATTACAACCAGCAGGGTTTTCGTCTGAGGACCTCCCGTAACTTTCCATTGAAAATCTCGTCCGGGCTGCTTTTCTGGAATTAAGAAAACGCCCCAAAATCGGCCTTTTCAGCCCGTTCAAAGCTCAAATTTGGATTCTACGTGGCGAAAAGGCCTAAAACATGCAAAAGGATGGAGGTGCAAAATCTGCCGGGACACTGCCTTTAACGTCTGCCCTCTTCCAGATGTCTCAATCGAACACAATGACATCCATTCTTTACGATGGAATTTACCCATACGCCATCAAAGGCAAGTTAATGAGCATGGTTAGCTGTGTTAAATGTGATTTACGTACAAATATGCATGCGTAAATACTATAGTATCGTCCAAGATAAAGTCGAGCTCTCCCTCTCGATCTTCAAACGCTGATACGCTAGTGGAGTTGTGATATATTGAACGATGGAGAAATCCCATTGCTAGAATAGGGAGCGCTTTGATTTAGATATGATACAAATTAATTATGGGCGTTTTCGCAGATGAGAACTTAGGAATAAACTAACAAAGAGGGCCTTGACACTTTGAACCGCGAACTCGCGCGCATATTTGTGTATACACGTGCAATTACATATACCGAGATTTTCCGCTTAATATGGTGTGCTTGCACTACGTTGAAATGAGGTAAAATTCGCGTGAACAAACAGCTACGCTTGTGACGCAGGCCAATTGCACGCGCAAAACGCTGGCATTGCTGGCGTGGCTGTGTGTTCACGCGCAGATTTTACCGCATTTTACTTGCAGTGCAAGCACACTATATTAAGCGGAGAATCGACTTAACTTACATGTTGTAACTTCTTGGAATTAACTAACAAAGCGGTCATAACTCGTAGTGCTTTTTATAGAATGTCAAATAACCTCCATGCTGAACGTTCCAAAAAAAGATCAAAATCCTCTTATTTGTGGTCTGGAAGAGAAGCAGATTTCTCAAAACAGAAAAAGAAATTTTAACCTTGATGATGACTGTAATCATATTCAACTATGCCACCAGACAATCTATTTGGTAATTACAGAGTTGTTCTAGCATGGACCGTAGACCTCTAACATAAGCTAAACAACCTTAGATTGCGACAAAACTAGCAAATTGAGGGGGTGTTTCAAACTCGCGTGATGCATCACTTACAACCCGGGCTTATGACGTAGTAAACAAGTTCGGGCACATCGTAGCGCTACGGATGTTATTGTTATCACATTAAGATTTGCCACGCGCACATTTCGAATGCTACAAGCACACTTAGCTATGATCTGCGTTGTTCCTCCCAAAGGTACCACCGCAACACAGCTCTCGCTGCCTTTGACGCGTTAACGGTCCGAGGTTTGCCAGAGCGAAGGCTCGATGGAAGTATGCGGACGGTAAGATTTCGTAACAGCATTTTTTCCCATGGGTTTGGAAACCGTAGTCTTAGCACGGAGTTGCAGTTACCCATTTTACAGAACGCAAACTTGCGAAAGAAGAAAGAACATACCGATAAGATGCGAATACAGGACCTCCAAGAGAGTGATCGAACACGGCTTTCTGAAAAACTATCGAATAAGAACATAGAATAAGCGTAAATGAACATATCACATTTCGAAACGCATTCGACAGGCGAGAGATGAGATAAGCTATGAAGACAAAAGAGATGGAGCACTACGAACAACGAAGTGAAGAGGTTAGTTTAGATTTAGATGCTTGGAGAGCTTCTTATTTCGATGCATTCATAAATTATCATATACCAAGCAGGAGCATTGAGGTGCATCGTGCCCTCAACAAAAGTGACAGTCAACGAACAGGAGATAAAGAAATCGGGCATCTCCAAATACCCTCGAGCATACGTACTACGCAGTGAAAGAGACTACGGAATGTGTGCTAACTCAAATAATTCCAGTTATGAAGTCGGTTCTACGATTCTCCCAGATCAATCTGAAGCAAATTATTTGCCGTTCCGGGACGGTGAGGGGGTCCTTATATGCGGAAATCAAACACTTCACCCCGCTGGCGATAGAAGCACTTTATAACGTGCAACAATTCTCAATTATCGCTTGGAAAAACACAAACATTTATTAATACACCAAGAGATGGATCTTTGAGAATTCGTCATGAAAGTTGTTCATACAAATTCCCTCTTTCACTATACTGTCCCTCTTTCACTATACTTCAATCAAAACTACCTTCATTCTCTGAGAATGATCCTGATATTAGTCGAAGAAGATCAACGATGAAGTCAAATCGCCGAACGAATCTAAAAGATTGAGACCCATTCAGTATCACCGATCGTGTAGCCCTTTACTGGTGCGGAAATACAACCGCGCAATGCAAAGATTGGTCTAGAAGACGAGCGTTAGGTACATCTGTTAGAACTGCTGATTTTTAAGGTCCAAATGACATGCGCAAGAAATTTAAGCTTGATACTACCAACGTTTTTCATTGAACGGAAAGCATTCATAGAATATGCGAAGAAAAGCTGGACAGCCGAAGACAAATAGACAAGGTGTGAGCACAGAATGCCGCGCGCGATATGATGCATGATTCAGACGGAGATATTGGGGGATCTTAGCGAGGAATCTGTACATTACACAAACCGATACATTTTGATTCTTTGCAAAACAGTGGCTAGAGAAGCCATGGAGGTCGTACTATAGAGTTTGCCACTCGGTCTTTTCAGAGCACGCACATGATAAACAAGAGAGAAGGTGATTGAAGCGGCACTTCACTACGGTGTTTTAGCGTGTCATGAACTTGCTTACTAAGCTTAATAACTGAGTAATCATCAGCTGAAGTTGATAAATCTCTGACTGTCAGGCGATAGTACAACTACAGATGTGTGAAGACTATATAAAGCGGTAAATGCCGTGCTCCACCGCTCTCTTCAATTTTCCCGTAAAACTGGCTTTTTCGATGTACTCTACTCAAAAGAAGCTGTGTTAGAGTGCGGTCTCCACATGGGGGAAACACCAAGATGCGCATCTTCCTCGTCTGTCACCAAAAACTCCAAGGGACAGTCTGCAAAATATAGCAAACAAAGTTCTTTGTCCTATCATCTTTGAGTTAACACTTGTTCTACGACGGGTTTTGCCAATCAGACCGAAATATTCGTTAAATCCTGCTAATCAAATTTTAAGCGCTTCTCCATATTTATAATTTTTACATCCTTGAGAGCGCGAAATCATGAGACCGTATGATACACCATGACGAAATTTTTTATTATTTAGCATTTGATGTCCATTTGCGATAGCCAAAGCCCAAGGCCGCCCTCCTGACATACACCCCCCCCCCAAAAGGGATCACCACAATCCACCAGCTTTGCGTAGTTGCCGCGCAACGTATGCGCGCAGCCAGCAACAGCATGTAAACGGTTGCACAGATGACGGACGACCGCATGCAGTAGATATTCAAGTTTCCACACTCTGACGCGATGGCATCTTATTTGGATCATCGGCATCTCTGATAATACCCTTAGGTAACGAGTTGCGCGAAACCGCTCAACATACAAAAAGGATGCGAATGTCTTGTGGGCGTCATCAACCACTTGGCATGTCTGAACAGTTTACAAAAGCTGTGCGCCTTACAGTTGATTCCGCGATGGATAGTATGAAGTTTGAAATTTTTTTTACCACAAAGTAATCCCTTTGATTTTATCCAAATTTTATTGTTTTATGTATATGTTTGTCTTTTCCCAAATGTGAATCCGCAATTGATATTCGTAGATATCTAGCGGATTGCCATATCGCGGGACAGCGGTTAGACTGAAGTGCTTGAGGTATGCCCGATGCCTTGAAGGCACCGTCCAAGTTGAGGGTCTTGAGCTTTCGGCAGCTTACGATAGTGAAACTCCCTCTCATGCCCAAGTCGCGGGGCAAAATATCGCTTCGGAAGCGAGAAAATCGCTTCGGGATAGCGAAGCATGGGAACCCCAAGTCGGCATCGCCCCTCCCCCTCCCTTCCAGTAATGTCCACCCATCTGTGCGCGCTCACCACCACCGTTGCGAAAAACCTGCCTGCGGGTTCTCCGAAACGGGGATCGTCGGGGTTCTCGCGGATTCTCGACTTCATATTCGGAAACAAGGACATACGTGGAAGTCGTGAATCTGGGTGGACGGTGCTTTGAATTGTTGGTTTGTAAATAATTTGAACATTCTAGTTACATCTCTCGGCTGCCGATGGCAACTACCACCGAGTTCAGAGGCTATTATTGAAGCAACAGCATGACCATACTACCACTGGTAGAGGCTGCTTCTGAGAATCTATGTCTTTCACAAGTTGTTTTGCCATTTACTCGTGTTCATGTTAGCCACATAAGCATCTCTTCAAACAAGTCATTCGAGATTCAATGAATTGTGCATGTCTCAGCATCAGTTAGGTAAGTATCCATTAACATGTTAGATAGTGGAAGCACATGTATACTGTTATAAATATTATTTCGATATAGTTGCCACTCATTTGTGGATTTAAGGGAAAAAGCAAAAAAAATTTTTGAAATTTTGAGACAGAAGAGTCTGTCTCCTGAAGCTGCATGACGCTTACATGGTTTACTTGCAGAACAAAAATCACAGCAGCGCGTACAGAAAGCGAGGGAATTGAAAGCTGCCTGACCAATCGCAAAACTGCATAAATTTCCCATACTAACAAAAAAAGTTGCTCATGTCAAGGAAGTCCACAACAACTTGCCTGTTGCAGATTTCTCAATTTGTCATGATTGCGAATATTGCAAAAAAATATTACAAAAACTTCTCAAAAATGTGCAGAAGAATTTATATGTCTCATCACAACTGTGATATCAAACACGCATATACTGCTTGCTTGCAAAAATATCAAAAGATGAGTTGGACCAGATACACATGCAGATTTGTGATCGATGTACAACTTTCTCTAATCACTCAAAAGAAAAACGCAAAGTTAACAAATATATCGGGCATCTGATACTTAGATCCATACACTAGCATAAATTATGTCCATCCTCGTTGACGGATAAGATTTGCGTCGCAATTTAGTATAAAATAATTTTACGCGAACTACTTAGAGATGAAGGTGTGCTAGTTTGCACTGCTGACTCTTGACAGAATAGCTTATACTCCAGCATCAAATAACTACCACTTTATCATCACATCCACCTTCCGAAAGTAAAGTTCCAGTCAACTCAGTCTCTTACCATACAGCTTCCGTATCTTTTGTGTATTCTCTAAGCCTGCACGCTGTCTCTAAGCCTCGGAATTACAACTCCATCCACCTCCCCCATGAACTACTCCAAAAATTCGAGTAAACTAACCTGCCACCGTAAGTATCGTACACCGGTAGGACATGGTAATGCAGAGATTAGAAACTTCACCATCGACAAGCTGAGAATCTTCATCAGGTTGACGGACAATTCAAAAGAAGGTGAAACAATGAGACGAAATATCAACACCATGCAGTGGGTGAACACCACTTGCTCCATTTTCGCTAATAAATTTCTGTATCAACAACAGATGTGTGTAAAAAACTCAAGATTAGACTGGAACATCACAAAAAAATGCGTTGTGTGGATGCAAACGGAGGTATATTATGTCTACACTTAGTTGGTAGCAATTGCTCTTTACTTTACGACATCATTCTTTCCGATGTGCAAAAATCATATTCTGCTAATTGGAAGCTTCCGATGGTCAAAATACGAATTTTGCCAGTATCACTGAAAGACTAACTTGGCAACGTGAAAAGCGATCTACAGGCAGAAAGTGCCTTCTAAATCAGGTTCAGAAACATTGAAATTTGATCATGACCGGATACTCTTCAACGTGTTTCCAGAATGGAAAGATCTTTTGTATCAAAAAAATTCTGCATATCTGGAAAATAATGCACCGAAAATCGCTACTCGCACACAAACAAATTTCACAAAAACTGTTCATTTCATAGAAGAGCTTCTGATGCAACTATTAGTAAGCAGTAGTACGTAATACTCTCTGCAGCTACAGCACATAACGGTTCAAACAGGATTGATTCCATTCAGCTGCAAAGCAAAATAGAAAAAGCTCATTCTTGTGCTTCCAAAATCACTAATCTGATCCTTCTCAGTGGTGAGGATAGGGTATGAGCTCTCCCGCTACATAGCAAGCGAGAGAACAAAAATGAGCTTCAGACCAGATAATAGCCTCGAGTTACCTTGATGGAAGGGGCTATACAGGGTGTCCCAAAAGTATGTATGCACTGTTTGATTGTTAATATCTCCCTTCCCAAAAAAGTCTTTTGCCTTACTTCGGGTACCGTTTTGTAGAGCTGGCTTCAACTTAGGTTTGCATTATAGAACGAATCACCCATCTCTCTTCATTACTGTAGGATTACGGTACAAACTTGAAACATATGATGTCAATATGGAAAAAGCTGCCAATCCAAAATTTTTCAAAAAGAAAATGTGAAAACTTTTGTAATAGGGTTTTTATGGATGCTGAGCTCAATACTCAACTATTCACAAGATACGAAGCTTTCTAAACGGTGTAACCGCACTTTTTAGGAACATTGAAAAAATGGCCGCTACCTCTTACCCAGCATAACTGTTCAATGAAGCATCATAATTAGTTGGGAACTTTA